CTGGAGGGGCTCTGCCGCTGTCGTTTCCTTGTTCCGGTGCCACGGCTACGGGTAACTCATCGGACGCCCCTGCGCCGTCTCTGCACGCCTCTCTCGCTGTCTGAACTGTCCGCCGACCCGCTGTCGGTCCCCGACGAGCTGCTCTGCCGTCGGCGGTGTTGGGCGCGGACTGTATGTCTAGGTCCGATGGCGCACTGGAACCTGTGGTCTGTTGGTTCGTCTGCGGCCCTTATCTCGTGTTTTGACGGGCCGGGACCGGCCAGTGCCGCCTGCGTGGCGACGGGCGGCCCGTCTCCCCACGTGCTGTTTGCCGAACTCATGGCCCAGTGCGGGTGTGTTGGCCGTGGGCCCTATCTCTCGCCTGGCCGCCCGCCGGCCGCCGCAGGGCCGGGCGGTGGAGACGGGATCGGTGTCCGATTACACGGGGCCCAGTGGCCAGTGTCCCGCGCAGTGCCCGCTGGTCTCGCGGCTGGCCGTCGAGGCGCTGCGCAGCTGGGCGCTCCGGGCGCCGCCGCTCCCGTCCTGGGGCGCCCCGCGGGGCCCTCATGTTGGCTTCCCAGGCCCGTGGCCGGGAGTGAGCCTGTCACCGGGGGCGCAGGAGGCCCAGCTCCGAACATCGCCAGTGGCAGGGCCGGGCGTTGGCTGGCCGGACTGAGCTGCTCCATTCCTACTCGTATGTGACGGCGAGACGTTAGACCATGAAGTGGGTTGGCCGGTCCGAAGAAGACGTGCGGTGCCGGGACAGCAGTGGTCCTTGTGCCGCGTGTATGCGGCTGGTGGGCCCAGGGGGCCTGTACATGCCGCTGGCGGTCCGTGGGAATGGTGTGAGCAGCTGGCGAGCCCGTGAGGTCTGCGCGGGCAGCTTCCGGTCCGCGGGACCAGTACCTACTTACGTGCGGCTGGCGAGCCGAAGCGGCGTGGGCGTGCAGCCGACGGTCCGTGGGACCGGTGTGAGCAGCTGGCGAGCCTGTGGGGTCTGCGCGTGCAGCTGTGCGGTCCGTGGGACCAGTACTTACGTGCGGCTGGCGAGCCGAGGCGGCGTGCGCGTGCAGCCGACGGTCCGTGGGACCGGTGAGAGCAGCTGGCGAGCCCGTGGGGTCTGCGCGTGCAGCTGTCCGGTCCGTGGGACCAATACCTACTTACGGCCGGCTGGCGAGCCGAGGCGGCGTGTGCGTGCAGCCGACGGTCCGTGGGACCGGTGTGAGCAGCTGGCGAGCCCGTGGGGTCTGCGCGTGCAGCTGTGCGGTCCGTGGGACCAGTACTTACTTACGTGCGGCTGGCGAGCCGAGGCGGAGTGCGCGTGCAGCCGACGGTCTGTGGGACCGGTGTGAGCAGCTGGCGAGCCCGTGGGGTCTGCGCGTGCAGCTGTCCGGTCCGTGGGACCAGTGCCTATCTTACGGGCGGCTGGCGAGCCGAGGCGGCGTGCGCGTGCAGCCGACGGTCCGTGGGACCGGTGTGAACGGCTGGCGAGCCCGTGGGGTCTGCGCGTACAGCTGGTTGATATAGTTGCACACAGCAATATGTATAGCGACATATATACCCGGTGACGACTGACCGCGCTACGGGCTGCTCCCTCAGCCCGCCGGTACGACGGTGGTGGTGGCTGGTAACAGCCAGTGCAAGGGGCGCGTATGGGGCTTCTAAACGCGGCGGCTAGCGGGTCCGTAGGATCTAATGTATGCAGCCGGTGGTCCCTGAGAGCTGTGTGTGCGACTGGCGGGCCCGTGGGGCCTAATGTATGCAGTCAGTGACCCGTGTGGCCCGTGTGTGCGGCTGGCGGGCCCGTAGGACCTAATGTATGGAGCCGGTGGTCTGTGGGACCCGTGTGTGCGACTGACGGACCCTTGGGGCCTGATGTATGCAGGCGGTGGCCCGTGAGACCCGTGTGGCGGCTGGCGGGCCCGTGGAACATAATGTATGCAGCCGGGGGTCACCCATGTGTGCGACTGGCGGGCCCTTGGAGCCTAATGTATGCAGCCGGGGGTCCGTGGGACCCATGTGTGCGACTGGCGGGCCCTGGGAGCCTAATGTATGCAGTCGGCGGCCCGTTGGACCCGTGTGTGCGACTGGCGGGCCCGTGGGCCTAATGTATGCAGCCGGTGACCCGTAAGACCCGTGTGCGGAACTGGCGGGCCCGTGGGGCCTGATGTATGTGTCGGTGGCCCATGGGGCCCGTGCGTGCGGCTGTCGAGCCCGTCGGGCCTAATGAATGTATCCAGAGGCCCATGGGGCCCTTCTGTACGTCAGGCCGGCCCGTGGGGCCTTGCGCGCGGCCGGTGATCCCTGAGACCCATGCTCGCGGCTGGCGGACCCGTGGGGTCTAGCGCATGCATTTAATAGCGACTAGAGTTGCAAAGTTTCCCTACCGCACTACCGGCATGCCGGTAAATTTTCACTACCGCAGGTTTTTCGTGGTATCTGGCATGTCTTGCCGGTAGCATGCCGGTATTTTTGATTTTGCACAAAAATAGAAAATATCAGCAGATGGTTTAAACTTTAAGCACTAAGAGGCTATCAAATTATAACCAGTATAACGCCTTTTGGGGCGACTAACGGAGCGAGCGAGAGGGTGGGCCTTGCACGTGCGAATTGCGAGGGGGTACCTCCAACTGACTTGTGCAAGGCACCCTACTAACTGGTCTCTAGCGATGTGCCAAATTTGGGCACAATCGGCCCAGCCGTTCTCGAGATCTGGAAGCGGCACCCTGCACGTGCGCACGTGCAAAATGGGTCCCAACTGACTTGTGCACGGCACCCTACTAACCGGTCCCTAACCGTGTACCAAATTTGAGCGTAATCGGTCCAGCCGTTCCCGAGATCTGGAAACGACCCCTGCACGTGCGCACGTGCAGCAGCACCCCAACTCTGGCACATGTATATGCAGTGCCTAGTGGGTGCCTACCTACATGCCAACTTTCAGCGCAATCGGCCAAGTAGTTACCGAGATATTGCAACAATTACAAAACTGACACCTCTTCGTTTTGCACGTGGCACGTGCATAAGGGGTCACCCACATGCATCGGGAATAGTCCAATACTTGGTAGAAGGAATGAAGCTACCCTACAAAAATTACCGCGTGTAAATCGGTCAAGTGGTTGCTGAGATATAAGCCTCGCAAAAGCGTGACCACGGCCGGCCGGCCGGCCGGCCGGCCGGCCGGCCGCTCATACTCAGAAATTTCCGTTAATCTAAGGAAAGACTACGCTCGCTTCGCTCGCTCCGTAATAACAGCAATATTAGCCACTGCAAAATACATTTTGTGGTAGAAGTTACATTGCTAAGGGTAGGCATACCTAACACATGGACCTCAGCGATTCACAGGTTTCGTTATAATTAGGATTGTCAAGAATCTACTGTGGTCAATAAATGGAAGAATACTCATTCATGCTGCAAAAGCTCGATCAATCAGTAAGTCTAATGGTATGTAATAGGTAAAATACAACAAAGTAAATAAATGTTCATGACAACGTTCCCTAGGGGAAAAGGCAGAATCAAAACACCACAAAACACATTGTTTGGAAACTGGCCTTGAGTCCTGAGATGTGGTCTGAGATACTCTACAAAGTATTTGACACTGAAAATCCAGCTGAAAAGGCTGGTATTAGGAAGCCCTGAGCCTGACTTTGGTCCCAAAAATGAAATGAAAATCAAATAAACTGGCATTTTGTCTCATCTTTACAAGAAAACACAATATGCATACAAAATAAACAAAGTGGCGCAGAATGGGAACCAAGGATTGACTTTTTAGATCTTCTCTCCCCTGATGGAAGGATGTAAGATGATGACGTAATATTCATTCGTATGCCTTTTTGGTTTAATTCCTGAAAGGAAATGAATTTTCTTGTAGTGAATTAAACTCTCAATGTTGATCACATCAGAATTAAATATCGTTTTGGATCATTTACATCAACAAATCATTTATGAGGCAGTTTGCTACAGTTCAGAAACTTTTTTTGCAGCAATTTAATCAGCTGGTTAAAAGCCTCTGTTATTATGGCGCATCTGTTTCGAAATCTTTCATAGTTGATAACCTTGTGTTTGGAGAGGAAGATTCTTCGAGAAAGCGGGTATTATATCGTTTTTATGCATATTATTTGGTGACTGTTCTCAGGACAAGTGAGTTTTTCACATTTTTCAAATGATTCGTATCTTATTCATGAGCCAGCAAGCCATGGCGAAAAGGAAAAAAAAGGTGTTGATCTCGCTTCCTCAGGCACATGGCCAAATCTATAGGTACTTTTTATGTTGTGACCATCTAGATTTCAAAAATTTGATTTTGGTTGGTAGGTTCCTGCAAAATTTTAGGAGAATGTGGAATAGTAGAACACCTCTGAAATGTTGATGTGATTACTGCTAACTTGAACTGTCCAGTCTTCAGAAACAATTCAGTACTTTAAGTTCTTTTTGTCATTGCTTTTTTATGCTTTTTCTTACTGCTTTTTTGCAGGCAATACCTCTTTGATTACAGGTGATATTTTAACAGTTATAGACTGGAACTGAGTTTCAAAATTGTGGGTATTTGTGGGGCCAACTGAGTAAAAATCAGCCTGCTCGTAGTTGGGGTTGGACATTGGGTGGCTGCTGGGTGGGAACTGGGATGGGTACTGAAATTGCCAAAGTGTGGCATCTCTTGTAGGGGTAAGCTAGAATCAACATTGCAGGTTTTTTTAGTATGCCGGTAATCTGGTGGTGTTTTTGCTCGGGTCGTGGTAGCATGCCGGTATCGCAGAAAATTTTTGTGGGGCGGGGCGGGGCCGGTAGCAGCCTTTGGGGGAAATTTTGCAACTCTAATAGCGACACTGTTCACACCCAGAAAATGTGCCCGGGGACGACTGACCCCGTCTCGGATGGCTCCCGGCCCCCTAGTACGGCAGTGGTGGCGCGGTATGGCGGCCACTGAGTGCAGCGTGTGTGCCGTTGGGTCTTCTGAAGCGAGGCTGGTAATGGTGCCGTAGCGGACCGGGGCGTCCCGTCGGGCGTCGTCATAACCCGGGACTTACTTGGAGGTGGCTCCATTTCCGGCTGTTGGACGCTGGTCTCCTGGTACCCCTCGCCTCACCACAGAGTATCGTCCGTCCACGCCTCACCGCACAGCGTCGTCTCCTCTCGCCCCCGCGCGGCGACTGACTGTCTGTGAGGTGCCGCGGTCGGCCCACCTCCCCTGTTTGTCACTCTAGGGTGTTATCACTGCCGGCGGCCCGGCCGTGTGTACTTTACTGCCCCGTTCTCCTCTCCCGTCCCCTCCCCGCCCCAGCCCTCCTCCAACCCACGATGTCGCTGCGCCGGTCTCCCGTCCGTTTCCCGCTGGCCAGAACCTCAGTTATCTTTGTGCGATAACTAACCGATGGGTCGCCGACTGACGCCGACACGGTAAGTCACTTCCGTCGGGTCCGGCCGACGCACGCAACCGACCCGGCCGACGAGCGTGTCGACAGCGATAGGTCGTCGGTCCGACATTCCTACCTCAGCTCCAGGAGCGGCAGATATTTTGCATAATGCCATAGAACAAGCTCGAGAGAACCTACGTATGTACTCAGTGACATTGCGTCCCCACACGTTAGAGAAGCAATGAAAAATAAGATGACGGGACCTACCAAATATTGATCAACATTATCGTGAATGACGGGGAAGCGCATCTCCCTAACAAAATGATCGGAAGTAGAAAATCGGACCAAAATCTAGGGTCATAGTTTCTGGGGCTAAGGCACACCAAAGGCGGATTTCGTTGCTTTTCTAGTTCAGGTTCATTGCGCTGCGGGATCATTATCTTTCTGCATGGCGATCTTGTGGAACGGAGGAGAGCTATTCGTCTGCCAAAGGAGCTCCCTTTCGTCGGCTGGTGGCGGTATCTCACCGTGTCGTGGCTCTGCTCTCGTCTGGAAATGGTGCTCTCTCCGCGACTCTTTCGTCTGGCTGCAGTGGCATATCGTTGATGGAAGTTCAAGAAGTGGGCTGGTCGAATTGAATGGCTCAAGATCTAAAATTGTTACAAAACCAATCAGCTGTGGTTGAATCAGCTGAATCGATTTTTAACGTCACGATGATTGAATCATTGCGATACACCAATAAAATTGACAGTTGGTTTGCCTCACCCTTGGAAATATGTGACTATAGCTAAGATCGCGTCGTATAAATTGACTCAGAACTGCAGTCTGCAAAATGTCATGAAGATTATAGAAAGTCCGTGTTGAACGCTTAAATAAACCGTTTCGTGTACCACGTTGGTGCAGGTTTAATCCACCACCGGACTCCAAATTATTGTGTCCACCGGGCTGTCAGTAGCGCCAATTCATCTTGAGGTCATTGTAAAACAGTGTACTGGGAAGGGACGTCACGCTGCCTCAGTGATGCCCGCGGGGCCTGTGCCTGGGCAAGGTCGGCAGAGGTGGAAAAAACCGCCTACTCTGCTGCGGGCGTATGCGACAGATTCACGTCCTAACTACGGGTGTACATGGGACAGAAACTTGAGACGGCATATTCCGTTCATTTTATGAAAACTAGTTAAAAAATCCCATTGCGGTAGCAGAAAAGGCTACCTTACCCGACACCATGCCTTTACTCAACGTCATCCAACATTGCGGTGCGACTATGATTTAGTGATTTAGTGGCGCTGTTCATGGGACAGGGGGGGGGGGGGTAGGAAAAAACCTGCTGCTCGCAGCAGCCTCCATTGCCTTCAACACGGCGGGTAGGCGGCGAGCCGCCTACGGACTGTCCCATGGGACAGGCTAATTTCGTGGGACAATTCTGTCTGCGAATGCGGCGCATGTGATTCATTTTGCGTGAAGTTCATAAGTATTTCAATTTGTTGTGTGCCTGTCAAGCCAGAGCCAACTAGACTTGGATGAAATCTTGGATGAAATGGTACCACCGTCGAGAAGAAAGGTGCGATGTGGCTATGCAGGCTGTGCATACAATGGAGAGTCAAGATCCCTGAAGAGGCACATGAAGCTGAGGCATCCTGGATTGCCCATTCGCCTCCAGAATGATGCCTTTGGAGAAGGAGGCAGATGGCAGTCATGGCGAGGTGCTACTAACGTGAATCTGCTGGAGGATATGAATGGTAAGACCTGGAAAATGTTGAGATATTTTGGACAGTACTCAGTAGTTTTTGTTTCACTTAGGTCAGGTGCTGGTTAGAAAAAAATTCTTATTTTAGACTTGTTTTTATTGTTATTAGCTATCGGTTCTCAATTCAGCGTAGTTCAAGTCATTACAACAGAAAATTTCAAACTATTTGCCAATCACACCCTGACCTTGTTCTGAAGATGGAGGTCTGTGTCATTTGTGTTCCTGCACCTTAACCACTTGCCCGATTAAGTGTTTCTTGTATGTGGGGCTAGAAATTATAAAAAGGGGAAAATTTCAGTACTTTACATTGTCTTGTCATGAAATGGTCACCTCCAAGCTCCAACCAAACACAAGCCAACTTAACCCAATGATAAACCTAAAACCTGCAATGGAAAGTACGCTGACCCACAATTAATTAGTCTACACTGTCCTTATGGAACAAGAGGTACTCAATGATGTCTCCTATTAGTTGCATTGCAGAAGTGGTGGATAGGTATCTATATTTTGTCAATTGTGATCATGCCGGTGTGGATACAGGTATGGTTGTCAAGACTCTCTAGGAATTCTTGGCCTACGTTTTGCATTGTATAGGTATTGTAATGGTTTTCATTTGAATTCATTTCAGCAAGCTTCAATGTGCAGGTGGCATGGTACAATTACACAGCTTTTGTATTAAAAAAACATTAGTATGAGTGCAAAAAGGCCAGTCCACAAACAAAATTGTTAACACTAGTTTCTATCATGCTTGTCAAAATTTCAGAAATCATTTAATTGCATGCTCAATGCTCATTTTAGTTGTTTGAAAATTGAAGATATTGCCCTTGTGGCCTAGGATAATGGGGTTGGCAAGACAAAGAGTGTTGTTAAATGACTTCAACAATTGCTGTGGTTATCTATAAGCTTACAGTACAGGACACATGTGTATTGTGTAAATACTAAAACCACTAATGCATGTTCAATGCTTGTCATCTTGCAGGGGTTGCAGACTCTCCTGATGACCCAGCTGGTCTGCCAGAGCAGCCAGTCATTGCAGTTGACAACACAGCCACTGATCAGCCAACTGGTGAGCTGCAGCCTGGTAAGTGCACTGAATACACATGCTAGGGTGTTGCCACATGCTCAGTTTATCATTTGCAGGGCACATAATGCTTATTGTTCTGTAATTGCTTGACTTCTCATGTATCTTCTCTTTTATTTTCAGGATGCTTACCAACTTATCTGCCTATTTGCATACTGTTTGTAAATATGCTAACATACATATCCAGCTAAAAACAATGCATCCAAAATGCTGTCCTCATTCTCTTCTGTTTTTAGTATCAAACATCTTGCCTTGTTTGTTGGGTATGTTAGTACCTATGTGTATGGAAAAAGAAAAAGAAACAGTAAATATCATTGTCAAACTTACTCATTCTTTTTAGGTACTTAGGGTACAGGACACATGTGTAAATACTAAAACCACTAATGCATGTTCAATGCTTGTCATCTTGCAGGGGTTGCTGACTCTCCTGATGATCCAGCTGGTCTGCCAGAGCAACCAGTCATTGCAGTTGACAACACAGCCACTGATCAGCCAACTGGAGAGCTGCAGCCTGGTAAGTGCACTGATGAGTTGATGACACATGCTAGGGTGTTGCCACATGCTCAGTTTATCATTTGCAAGGTGGCGCTGCGGTCGCGACACTAGGGGTCACCAGTTTCGAGTGCTAAATAGTCCCCGCAGCTGGTCATGCCGTCTGCTACGTGATCATGTGTGGGTGGACTTAGTCGTTCACGGAGCTAGCTAGCGGACTGCGCCTTGGTTCCAAATGCTTCTTGGCGACTAACCCTCCCGCCCTGGACTGCTGCATGTGTATGATGAGTGTATCATAGTGATTTTGTCATGTTTGTTTTGTGTAATTCAACTTCCCATTATTTTGTTTAAAACCTTAATAGTGCTGTCAAGCCTATCCTTAACCCGGCGGCATGCAGTGTCCCGATACTGTATTTTGGCTTCGGTGTCAGAGGTGAAACTTTCTCAGGAAACGGGGGATGAGAGTGGGAAATTGCTAGTTAGATAAGGCCCAAAAAGAGCGGGAAAGGATCCAAAGCAACAATTTCTGTACAAGTGTTCAAAAATGTAGGATGTAAAATGAACTTCATATCGCGTATTCTTTATCTTAGTAAAATTGAGATTGGAGAGTTGTTCTTAAGAATTGGAGGCAATTGACTTTATGATATGGGTGTCGCTATCCACCAAAACCAACATTTTTGGAACACAGGTGGCATGTTTTTATATACCTATTATTTGGAATTAGCTTGGGATGTAACAGTGCGTCATGTGTTTGAGTTTACATAATTGACAGCAAATTTAAGCTTTGGACAAAACAGCACAATTGCAGTCCCCATGGGTACACCCACTGAGTTTCCTTATTCAGTTTCATATGGTGATATATTTGGGAGATATTCTTAATGAACTGAGTAGGTACTTTGCTCATAATTTAACCCAATTAAGTCGTAGTTTTTGTTTAAAGGCTGCAAATACTGAAAAATATAATTTAATTTTCAGAGAAGCTCGGAAAAACTCCTGCTACAGCGACTCAGAGTCAAGAAATGGATGTACAGCCGTCAGATCCGATAGGCCCCGGGAGAGCAGCTTGTTGTGGGCTGTTCGCCGCGAAGCTGCCAGAGAGGTTGACAGCGGTCGAACTGAAAACTGATCGTATCTTGGGATTCTTGGAAGGATCAGAAGCAGGCGGTGGCCCCAGACAGCAATCTGCAGCTCCCAGTACTGACCTGCTCCACCGTATGGCTGTTGTAGAGCAGAAGACCGATAGGATCCTACACCTTCTGGAAAAGCCAAAGAGCGGGGAGACTCAGAGCACAAACCCTGAGCGTGACCTGCTGTTCCGATCCGGCCGGAGCATCGAGACCCTTCAGACCGCCTCCGGCCGTCATCTGGCTACTTCACCGGGTGAGAACGCTCTTTACTGCGACGTCTGCGTCGAGAGTTTCACCGAGGATTTATTGAAACGCCAGGCCGCTGGCACGTTT